ATGACACTGCTGTACTCTAGCCTGGACAACAGAGTGAGACCCTGTCTAAAAAGGTATTATATTCAAGGTGCTTTCTTTTTTTTTTTTTTTTTTTTTGTATTTTTTGTTTATTTTTTTTTGGGCCGGGGCCAGGTTTGAACCTACCACCTCTGGTATATGGGGCCGGCACTCTACTCCTTGAGCCACAGGCACTACCCTCAAGGTACTTTCTTAATTTAATCATCACAACTGCCTGACCCTGATAAATATGCTTTTAACCTTTGTTTTATAGTGTTGCCTAAATACATTCTAATGTATAATAAATGCCATAAAAGTGATAGTGTACTCTAGACATCCTATAAGAAATGAGAGAAGGCGATAGCCCAATTAGTGGAAATAGGAGCAGGCATTGGGGTAGGTTTAAAGGATAAATTGGATCTAAAGGACAAGGTTAATGAATTTGACATAAGTACTGTGTATCTCTTCAGTACCAGGGAAAATGGCAGGTATGACTGGGAAGACTTTGAACAGCAGTATTGTTTGAGAAGGGAAGGTGAAATTAGGCTGATGAGGTCAGGCATGGTGGCTTACATCTGTAATCCCTTAGCACTTTGCTAAGTCAAGGTAAGAGAATCACTTGAGACCAAGAGTTCGAGACCAACTTGGGCAACATAGTGAGACCCACATCTTTACAAAAAATAAAAAATTAGCCAGGTGTGGTGGAGCGTTACTGTAGTCCCAGTCCCTGGGGAGGCTGAAGTGGGAAGATTGCTTGAGCCCAGGTGGGAGTTTAAGGGTACAGTGAGATACAATTTTATGGTTACAATCTTTTAGCCTGGGCAACAGAGAAAGGTTCCCATCTCTTAAAAATAATTTTTTTTTTTTTTTTTTTTTGTCGAGACAGAGTCCCACCCTGTGCCCCTGAGCAGAGTGCAGTGGCTTGGTAGTTCACTGCAACCTCAGACTCCTGGCTTGTGGGCATCCTGCTGCCTCAGTCTCCAGAAGCCTGTGGGATTACAGGCGCTCACCTCAGCTGGGTTTTTCCATTTTTTTCATGAGTCAGGATCTCACTTTCGCTCAGGCGAGTCTCGATCTCCTGAGCTCCAGCGATTCTCCCTCCTCAGCCTCCCACAGTGCTGGGATTACAGGCGTGAGCCACCGTGCCCGGCTCTTAAAAATAAAATTAAGAAACCAAGGTCCCTAGAAATTGCACTACTAAACAAAATATGATGTAGAAACTCTTACTTTAAATAATTCCAGAGAATAAAAGAAGAGGAAAAACTACCAAAAATGAAATAAAATAAAAATTAGAATTTTCTTTTATTTGCATGTAAAAACTCCTAAAAGTAGGTCCTGAGGAGAAACACATGCAATGTTCACACCTTATGGCTGTGACAAAAGATGGATGATACAGTGCTTTAATTGTAATGGATATTTAACAAATGTGTGCTGAAATAATTAGCGGCATTAGTAATCATGCTGTATTTTTTCAGAATAAGTGAATCCCCACTGAATCATGGTTTAAGGACATGAGTCATTATGAAAACTGGCCAGCTAGCAAAGTATTTCTCAGTCGGACTTTAGTCTTACCCTTCTACAAAGTCATCTTACTATGTTTACCTCCATGTTAAGGTTTAGTTTGCTCTAAGTATTCTCTTAGAAACTTCATTAGAAGCCCAGGACTACCTATTCTCATCTTTCTCAAAAGAAAAAGAGTAGGTGCAAGAATCCAGCAAACAAAATGGTCGCAAAGAAATGGGTCTTTTCTTTTTTTTCTTTTTTTTGAGACAGAGTCTCTGTCTCCCTCAGTAGAGTGCCATGGCATCATAGCTCACAGCAACTTCAAACTCTTAAACTCAAACAATCCTCTTGCCTCAGCCTCCTGAGTTAGCTGGGACTACAGGCACCCCCCCCCCCGAGGGTCCAGCTGTTTTTAGAGATGAGGTCTCGCTCTGGCTCAGGGT